AAAATATGGCCTTCTTTCTGGCTGCCTGATCGCATTTTAATGCTCTCCGTACTCCGGTTTTGCGTAGCTAACTCAGCATAGTGGACATTTTTCACGTCACTGCAAGCGATATGGTACGTGTCAAAGAAAAACGGGGAAAAAACCTTTCATCTATTGTTGTAACGCTGAAGAATGTACGATCAAACATTTTTATGATAGATCGTGAGTGAACTTCTTTTAGAGAATTTAGAAGTATTCCTGTTAGCTTCTACACAACTTCGGTGAGGGGTCAGTCCACATACAAATCGGTCCAGTCAGTAGTCGTTTCACATCAACGGGCCCCCACACAGAAAAATCAAGTAAGGAGCGGGCTACTGAGAGACCGTTAAGCTTCAATGGTAGCTCTGTTCCTAGTATGCCTCAGTTTTTGTTGAGTGACTTTCTCTGTTGGGGTTCATGAAAGTTGAAAATCATTTGGAAATACTGTTCCTGAGAATCTTCTGGGTCGGAAAAAGGACGTCCGACTTTTATCAGCCAAGCGAGGTTGTAGCGCCAAATTGGCCCCTGACAACGACAAATGTTATGGGCTAAATAAAGACTATAATTGTGCTTAATGAAATAGCAATCGAGTGTTTTCTTTCCTAGAACGAATCTCCGAAATCCCTCGGCAAAGATGCTGAAAAGAAGCTTTATAAATCGATGATCTTGTGGTGAGCAGAAACGGGCTTTTTTTGTGAGTTATTAAGATTATTTCTCAGAAGACGGCAAAACGGTAGCTCTTGATGGGAAGACCTGTGAAGAAAGAAAAATAAATAAAACCCAAACAGTAGACTGAACGAAAACTGCAGGCAGTATTGCATTTTGACGCACTGGGGGGTGATTAATTTAGTTCATAGATGATAGGACCCACAACCGTACGAGAAGGCTTTCCGAAGAAACTGCTATTCGTCATCCAAGCACCAATTTGTTATGTATCATCACTTATCTTCGACAACGCCTTACTATTCAACGAAAAACAATTGTGATGTTTACACGGCTGAGGCTTATGAAGCTCAAGCGGCGTATCATCTTTCTTCAGTTCTCCTTAGTTCCTATGTTTGATAATTTGTAACCAGTGAAATAAGGGATGATGTAAACGAATAATTGCTCTATTCAGCAATTCAGTCTCGTCCATTCGTCGGTTGAAGACGTACTGGACTTTGGCAGAGTATTGAACCACTTGTTCATTTTCCTTCTTTTCGTTTCTCCTACACAGCCCTTTACATTATCTTTGATATGCGAGACATTATTAGACTAGCGACTGGGATTGATCGCTGCTCTCTCCCCGAAAGGGCCAGCTTTCACACCGCTGGGTTTGTTCTTCCTCACGCCTCAATTACAACGCGATCATAATTGCCCTCCTATAGTCTTACAATATCTTATCGACCTCTACCGCTAATGTAAAATATCTACCTTCAAAAGTTGGCTATCAACTATATGTTCTTAAGCCATAGCATAATATACAGACAAAGAGTTAGAGGCGAGTTGGAGATCCAGGGTTATGGTTTGGAGCATTAGCCCATTGCAGAATATATTGGCGTTGGTTGGTTGCCCCTACCATGCAGTCACGTTGGTGCAGAAGCTCGTCGTGCATTGTTTACAGTAATCCTATTTTCATACACAGAGTTCCCGAAACCTGTTTTCCGTGACAAGTTTCGCTTCAATACATTTTATTGTTTTTCTTTCCTAGTGGGGTGGCACTCAATGCTGGATGATGCGAAGAAATGGTTTGTGATGCAGCGATGCGCAAAATCCTCAGGGTCGATTTGCCTCTGGCAAGCTCCTACAATGGGGTTATGTGACGCCCAGTGAGAGGTCTTCATTCACTGGACTTTTGAAGTTTACTTCTTGCATACTCCCGAATTGGGGAGTCACTTGTCGGCTACTGGTTCATAACCAAACACCCCCGCCCTCCCCCCCATAATACATGGTACCCTCCCCATAATAGATAGCGGATCGAGCCTCGGCTAAGATAAGGAAGTTCTTCTCCGGTATGCAGCATAACATCGGTTCATAGCGGTTCATCATATTGTCTCTAGAGATATCCTTTGCACTCCGCTATAATGTATGATTGTTTCACACTACCTGTTCACGTGGTAGATTTACTGAGGACTTATTCGTAGAGACCTGAGCTGCTATGTACTGGAACAAGTGAACATTATTTTCTCGAAGATGTCTGTGGGACAGTACTTACAACCACTTATCACCTTTGATTGGGAGCATTTATCAGATTTTTATTTCACGCTGCATTATCAGGTAAAATCGCACATGAGAGGAGGCAGCCTTATGAAACTGCAGACGACAACACCCGCCTAATGACTGTTTGCGCAAGGTGGCATCAGTCCCCTGGTGTCCGAAAGCCCTGGTTTATTTGTCACTTGGAATATATGAAGTAGACAATTTCGCGAATCAATATGATGACATTCGGAGCGGGACGGAAAGAAACTGGATAGTATTGTCAAGTCCAAATTCTGAGACGGTGTAGGCGTGGCATGCAAACATGGCATGAGGTAGGTTACTCGTGAGATATTTCAATTTGAGACAACTGCCATCTTGTGCGGTGTTGGACTAAAACGTGTATACAACTGCTCCAAAATGAAAATATCTCACGAAAACCTTAGCTGCCGCCACGTTCAATTCAAGTACGCAGCCACGTCTACCGCATCTCGGGGATTTCGAGTTCAACTCGCTGCGAACGATTTCGTTCAGAGCCGCAAGTTGGCTCGCAAGGCGAGATCTCAAACAAGGATGTTCATCGTCTCGCAGGTTCGCTAAAATAGATGAGCTCGAGTCTGCGGCATCCGCAAAATATCTCTCGTATGTTCAACTCATCAATTTTTCACTGTCGCAAGACTACCCTGATTCTTTCTGCTGGGCGACATCACTAGCTCTGTACAGGGGGAATTCTTCCAGTTAACCGAACCTGCTTCTCTGTAGGGTAACTCTCTGTCGCTCCATTCTCTTACGGTGCGGCGATCTTTGCCTCACCCCCCTCCCCCCAAACAAAATGCGAGGTTTCACCATTTGACCGGATTACTCTTGTTGAGAAGTTCTTTGCATTGTAGGAAAGTGAAATCAACCATTTTTATGGTTGCTTGTTTGTTCGCTAGAGCTGCATTCCTAACGAGGTAGCTAAATGGGTTGGAGACCCAACCTAAAAAACTCAAAGAAAGAGGCAAACGCAAGAACAATAGGCGCTGTCCGATTATTCTAGTGTTTGCCAACGCCTGTGAGACTTTGAATCGTCTCTCAGCGAGGCTTGAGCTTCTTCCTGATCCAAGCAGCCCTAAAGAATGCAACAGCACGCAAGCAAACTGTACTATTCATCGTATTTCCTTACCCAGGATATTGAGACGATCCAACTACCATCCTTGCGCAAGCTGCAGATCCCAACTTAGATTCCACTACTCAGTGTCTTGGAATCTGGTTGTCCAGTGGACAAGGACAGCTAGCTAACCGCGTACGTTATTTGATGTGTCAAATTTTTTTCAGTTTAAAGGTGAACGACCTAGCAGTCGATTCTTCTCGCGTGAAACCTTCTCAGTCACAAAGTCCCATCTTCCGTAACTGTCCTGATCACATGCCCGGCAACTCGCTTCTTTGATTCGTCGACACGAAGCAGATTTTCTTCACCTCCCACGTCTATTTTGTGAAGTTTCAATTATCCAGGTTAGACCCTACAGCAAAGCTTCATTGATGCCTTGTTAGACTTTTCCCATTTTTCCGTTTTTTTCAGTGGTTTCTTAATAGCTAAAAGGCTCTCACAGAACCACATGGAGCAATACGCACCGTGAGGGATCATTCAACAGTTTGCTATGATTCACTGTCAGTATGCTCCGTCAAACTTCAGCTTATATTTGAGGATTGCGTTAACGGAGAGGAACTCAAAAATTTTGGTTCTCACTCAGAACATTTCCTACACCATTATTTACCCTTCGATTACTCATACAAGGGAGTAAAATTAATGGTACAATTGAAGCTCAGAAGGCAACTTATTATGAATATTCTGAGCAAATCTTGTCTCTTCATTATTGCTGTATTCGTTTACGTTAGAATCTGAACGCAGCTGCGAAATCAAGGATACTTTCTGCAACCTTCCACAAGAATTATATCGCTCTGAGAGAAAGATGGGTAGACCGCCATGTTTCGCCTCAGAACGTTGCAAGGTAGGAGCATTAATGCGCAATGTTGCGGCATTACTAGCATTCGCATCGGTCGTGAAGCCCGTTTGCATGCAAAACCGAAGCTCAGCATATTTCGGAACAAGGACGGCCTCACTTCGAGCATTTGTGGAAGTTTCCTCTCCTTTTTTTTTACTAGCAAGTGAATTCCCATAACAAGCACACCACTGCGCGCTGGTGTGCATGGTATGGGAGTTCACTTGCTGGTAAAGAAAAAGGTTTGGAACTTTTCCGCGCCTCATCGCAAAATCTTCTTCCAAGTCGTTCCCCATGTTTGGCTCATCACTATCCTTCTTTGTTTTCGAGCGTTTTGGATCCCTTCGATGAGCGTCGGTATGGGATTCCTTTGCAACCCCCTCTTGGCGGTTATCATTACCATTTGTTTCAAGCTGCATCGGCGCAGATTATATCGTATTAGCTCGCTTCTCAAAGATCTACGGACGCTCCCTCTCACAAAGGACATTCGCTAAGACACTAATGTCTGCATACCTGATCCCTTACTTAAGGTTGGAGGAGCTGAGGCATTCCGGAAAAGGTTGGCGAGAAAAGAAGATTTCAACGGCATTGGCATCTGTGCTTTACGAAAGGAGTTTTTTAATGATAATTCCTTTATTGCTTTCCGTCAACCAGTTTTACGCCATTTCTATAGAGTGTGGAAGAGGCCATCCACGCCAACCAATGATCTCTCGTTGGCACTGTCATCCTGTTTTGTACCTCTTGCCATTGCAAATCCGGCTTTTCAATACTTTGAGATGTTCAAGTGGTTGCTATAATGCATTTTGTTTAGCGGAGCCAGATCCGATGTTCCAGCTGTACCAACGGCTTAAATGGATCTACCAGAAGTTCAAACTCAATGCATGGTTGCCATTTGCCGCATTAGTCTCCTATACGGTATTCGGTGCATTTGTCTTCAAGTCGTTCGAAATGGACAATGATCAACGCAAAAGAGAGAACTATCGGAATCGAACCATTTACGCGATGAATCAAGTGAGCCACAATTGTTCAGCGCCCTCTAGTAGTCCCGTCGCGAGTGAGTCGCGCTTTCCTCAGGTCTTTTGAGCTGCGAAAACGATACAACCTCCATGTTTGCGAACAAGACCACCCTGTCCTAAAAACGTCTCAACATCAAATGAACGCGTAGCGTGCCCTCAGGCTATACATAGAAGCAATAAAGCCGAGGGGTACTAACAATAAGTGGCCCTGAAGGTGTAATGGATGGCTCACTCTCCCGGGAAACTGACTTGCAGATATGAGTCTGGGACTGATTGTGAGACCTTTCTCTATAGCTCAACACTTGTGATAACCTTGGAATTTGTTCTACTCATCTTTACTGAAGTAATTTGATTGAGCAGTGAGTACTGAGATTCAGGTGTTGGAACGAATGTTGGAGGTGCGATGCCACGATTCAGGGATACGCAGTGCCGATAAAGCTTACCAGGTAAGCTGCACAACTTTTCTTCTAGTTGTATTCATGTGAGCGATTTGCGTTGACTGCAGTAGTACCACCAATAAACAACCAGCGGTCACTCAATCAACTAGTGGAGCGCCAGTGATTTATGGGGTCTCACACTTTTTTTTCGGCTTAGTTACTACTGCTACTATTACTCTTCTCAGCGCAGCTTTCAGTCTCCAAGGGGTTCTCTGAAAAAAAATACGGAGGATTTCTTTTCAATGCAGTTGGTTTTTTTTAATCGCTCTCTCAGACAGCAAGTGAATTGTATGAGATGTACTGATCATATCTTGTCACGATCGCTTTCTTCGAACAGGGGTCCATGAGCGAAGAAGTAAAGGGAAATCGTTTTCCTGCCATAAGGACCAGATTATCGAACGCTTTATCGTTCCTCGTTTATGCTTTGGTCGTGACATTTCAGCAGCATTTTTCTTTAGAGCGGTCCCATCCTATGCGGTCGCTTTGGGAACACTATCAACTTCTCTGAGTGAAGGGACAGTGTATTGTTCTTAAGCTCAGTGTATATGGTTCTGCCTATGGGATACTTACAAGTAGTTTGCCATGCTCTGCCACGTCGTTGGGTAAACTCCAGGTATCTAGACAAGCTCGCTAGGCACCGATTATAAAGTACTTCAGTGTTACAAGTAAGCTCTCAACTGTAACGAATCGCTCCGTGCAATGATGGCATGCGAAATGGAGCTTGTACCATTTCGAAACGTTCGTAGCATCCTTTGCCATCGAGCCGATAAATGCTCATATAACCTCTCCCATCTCCTATAAGGCGAACAGTGCACCAATAGTTTCTAGTAGCCTAGGTTGTCTTACCCGTGCCTTTTGAAATTCACTGCTGTCTCCAGTGAACATCTCTTTATTCCATCTGCGAGTTATTCAGGTTCAACATGCTAAAGAGGCGTTGATTTGGTTTTTGGAGCACCTCAATCTCACCGAAGTGCTAAATGAACGGACCGAGGACACACCGTGGACGTGGCTCGGATCGATGTTCTATGCAGGCCAACTCTACACTACTATTGGTAAGTTGCCTGACCTCTCTGTTTTGTCTACGCTATTTTTAGGATCGCTAAAACGGGATGAAAAGTTAGAGAGTAGGGACCAATTTTTGTTCTACATCGTTATCTCCCACATTGAGCCAGTGTTGGAAATGAGCTGAGTGAAGGGCTGTTTTACTTCATCGTGTCGACCAACGCCATAGCTACTTCCAGTGCCCTTGATTTGGTGCTGGACTTGATTGTAAGGGTCTCCTGGCAATGCATTTTTCATCATAACGAGTTGGAATATTTTGCCCGTTACCGTCGATGATTTTTCGAGGTTCTTGACGGAATAGGGGCCGTCATATTTACTGTTATGCTTCCACCTCTACGTATGGATAGAGAGAGAAAGTTCAATGTTCCGTGGGCGACAACATAAGGGGACCACCCAACGGCCCATACAGAATTGAGCCACTTCGCGGTTCTCGAGAGGGTCTTGGGCTACTGGGACTTGCACTAGGGAGGGACGGGAACGTTTCCGACATTCACTCGACACTCACTCGATTCCGAAACGCGACGGTAAAACACCACACGTACGCTCTCTGCGATGCCACATATCTCACCATGTGGAATCATTAATGTTATTGCCTGCGAGATTTGTCCAAGCAATGTTACGAAAACCCAGTGTTCAGGATCATCTCACGGTTTTCATTGTTTCTTTTTTCATTCGTCGAGCTTATACATGAGGTTATAAAGTTTTCACCTGTCGATGTTGCGTAAAATGATTAGTGTTTTGGTTCCTAGAAGAATTTTTCTGTTTCTTTTTTTCTTCGTTGTTTGAACTCGACTTGTAAACTGTAAATGTTTTGGAAGTAGGAACAGTTCAGGCGACAGGAACTTTTAAGGCACTTGCATTAATTGAAATAATAAAAACAAAAGGAACAAAAAGAAGGTCACCCAGGAAGTGGAGTTGGCCTCATCCGGACCTAAAAAGAAGTGAAACCTCCTTACCTCATATTCCAGATCTGCTTATGTATAGAAAGCCGTAAGTTATCAGTTAGTAGCCATTATTAAGAGAAAATGAGGTATCACAAGTTGGATTTTCTTATTTATTAAACAAGCAGTAGTAGCGTTTGGGCGCGCTCTGCCACGCACCGACGATCGCGGCGATCGGCGAGGTCGCCGAGGTCTCGGCGATAGCCGCTGCTGTCGCTACTGCGAAGTATGAACGCTGCCTTAAAGACAGCTCCCGCGATAAAAGTTGCTTTTCAATTATGAAACAGTAGCTGATAAGGAAATCTCCAAAGAAGAAAGAAAAATAAGAAGAGTTTGTAAAAAGTCGGCGTCCAAATTCAGGGTTACGGTAGCGTGCATCTTTCAGTGTAGCGTAGTACGTCGAGCTTTTGCTCCACGAAGACTGAGTCGCTGATTTTATTTTACCTTGCGAGATGGGTTGGAGTTGACTGTATGTGCTCCTAATGAATAAAATGTAATAAATGAGAGCAGAATTCATAGGTACGTGCGCGGTCAGCAAAAAGGGCATGCGATTCCGATCAATGCCCGCCGCCCCAACAAAGAACAACTGAACGGCCCTCTGTCAGAGGGTACCTATAATAGCAACTGGGCGGTCCAACTGGGCGGGCGTTAGAACTAGAACTTTCAGCGGTTGTAGCTCTCTCCTCGCTCGCTGTGGAGTCGCGAGAGTGGGATAGTCTCCAGCTTGGAGGCACAAGAAAGGACGACCATGTACTACTTGAGCTCGGGGCTGTCTTTAACCGCCTTTTTCGGTATAAAACGCAGCTATGGGAGGGCTCACACGCCCGCGGATCATGACATTATCAACTACAAATGAACTACTTGGACCGGTGACATTTCCAGCAGGTACTGCTCAAGCATTTTAGGGTATGGATTTCCTGCCACGAGTACGGCTGCAGGACGAGTCGCTTCAATCTTCTATATACTTTTCGGTATTCCAATCTTTCTCATCATTCTGAAGGTATGCATAAGATTACCATTAATTTGACGTTCGATTCTTCCGTTCATAATCGGATCTAATTTGGAGCCCTTATAGGACATAGGTCGCCTGATGTCGAGAGGTTGTCGCAAGCTTTACAAAAGGCTACGGGCATCACGGCGCAAAATTGCAGACACGAAATCAGTGCAAAATGTCTCGCAGTTCTTTGCTGTAAGCTGCGCATTTTTGAGAAGATTGAATTTCCTTTGGTCTAATTTCTTCCTTAAGCGAATCTACAAATCAAATGGAGCACATTGTGAGAACGGCGGTACCCAGAAACGCGATCCCGAGTTCGGTCCTGAACAGCAGGTTCCCTTTTGCCCTTCAATTCTTTTGATGTTGATGAAAGCCGGCTTCTGTCTAGAATAAGATGAATGCTCGTCTGCATGCCGAAAACGCTTTTCCTATTCCAATCGCCCTGTCGATGTTGTTCTTGTGGATACTTTTCTCAGCCTCTCTATTCTGTTATTGGGAGAGCGAATGGGGCTACTTGACTTCCATCTATTTCTTCTTCGTCTCTATCAGGTACAAATAGATTCTGCTAATTGTTCCCAGTCAGCGAGCTTCTGACAAAGTCAAATTATTGGTCAATATCGAATATCAGACCAAATCTCGTTCAGACCAACATTGGGAAATTTCACTTGATCTACCATACCAAGCGGGTGCCTAGGCGTCAAGCGTTATTCGATGCGCCATTCACGTGTCACCGATAGAGAGAATAGCGGTTTTGGCCGATCACAACTCAGAAAATATGTAGTTTTTCGAGGGGCTGTTTTCGAGAGAGATCACGTGGGCTTGGGCCAGGCCATCTGTTGATGACCGCTGCACTGCCTGATTACCGACTGGTCCTTACGGAAGGTTGGTAAGTCGCCGGTATAGCAGCAGAGTCCATTTCAGACTCCACCATGTAGTGCCCAGACAATTTATATGAAGCGTATTGTAGTTTTCTTGCGCAGGGAACTGACTGGGCAGCACAAGCACCTCGTTGTAAGCTACACGCAAGTAGAGCACAGGTGATAGAAGTGCTCTTGAACCCATGTCTTGAACTTATCGAAGAGAACAATGGTCTAAGCTCTTGATGACAACCCTGTTACGACGATGTTCGTCAAAAATCGAGGCATGCGTTCTAATAATAGTAGCGTCGGTCTTTCCTGGTCCTTAAATGAACCTTCTCGAGACAAAAACCTTCGGAGCAAGTGAAACCGAAAGGGCATTATTGTAGACAAAGCACCTTGAAACCTCAAAGGCACGGTCCGCGATGCAGAAGTTGAAAATATGGCGTCGGGGGGGGGGTAGTGTGATCACCAAGGAACAACCTTGAGCCGGTTAAAAAATTGTGAGGGAGGAGCGCCGCCAGAATACAGGTCCACTGACGCCTCTTCATCTAGTGACTCCGCCTCCAGACTCAGGCATGAAAATCGTCACTTGTACGGTCGTAGAATCCTAGTCGTAGAATCGGGGAATCAGCTGTGTGGATGAGGGTGTAGTGTTGAATTGGAATAAACTGGGGCACGTACGGTCGGAATCTATCCTGGGGCAGTTGGCTTTCCTGCTTTTTTTCTTCCTATCGAGTCACTAACTAACTACAAGCACCTTGTTGTGTATATGTGAATCCCTGATCCGCTATCTGTGATAGCAAATGATCGCGAGCTCCACCTTCATTCATCATAAAGCATCAAGCAAATCTCGTTTTTTTTCAGTACTGTCGGCTTGGGCGACATAGTGTTCATGAATCCCGACATGATGATCTTCAACTTCTTATTGATTCTAATCGGCTTAGCTCTGTTGTCAATGTGCTTCAACCTCATTCAGGTGAAAGAGACTTCGCTATTACTGAATTGTTACAACTTTGGTGGATAAGCCTACCGGACTCTTCTTTACAGTATCACAATTTCTCTGTTGTGTCATGAACCCACAGAAACTCAGCGAAAGGCATATCTTCAGCGAATTTTAATCACACGTTTCGGCTCGCCACTGCCCAAAAATCTCGCCAGTGAAACGCAAACAAGCTACGGAAGGTCGGCGCAAAGTCCTGCCACACAAACATTTCTTACCGATGTTTTGCTTATTAACGTGGGCTCACGTTAGGGGAAGCTAAAGAAAAGAAAGCTAGGTTCGGAGGGGAGAGCAAAAAAAAGAAGTTCTTTATTCTGCAGTGCCCTTAAGCTGAATACGAACAGAAGAAGTGTTCTCCCTCTCTTCATCATCTATAAAGCAACGCAAGGAATGACTTTTCCTCAAAGTAATTCAAAGTTCAAAATCAAAACAATGTAGGTTTTTGAGTGAAGAATCCCTATTTTTGCTTTCGGCATCTTCAGCGGTAATTCTTCTTGGGGCATCCACTGGCTCTTCCGTGTAAGGTTGACTTTAAGCTCTTTTTCAGCCCCTACCACCGCCCCAATCAGCAAACCAGGGCAAAGTAGCAGTAAGCACACCGCTGGCTTTGTCCAACAGGACGAGTTTGTGCATAACCGAAAGTCGGCCTGTGGGATATGTGGGAATACCTAGAGCATACGGTGAGAGAAAGATGGTGTCGATTGGATAATGAGCACCGTAGCCGGAAGTGAGTGTTGTATCGGTGATTAGGGCATAAGCTTCTAAATGAAAACAAACAAAACAGAATATTAGAAGAAGAAAACACTCCAAAACATAGATGGTCCGTTTCGCATGTTATCCCCTGATGAACCATTATTGTCTCGCCATTTCCCAAGCCATGTGAAGTCGTGTTTCACCAACGGTTTCGCCTAATGTTAAGTGAGAATCTAATCGTTCGAATGGCAAGTATAACGGTCATACTCATGCACACGAAATCAATGTGATGTAGTAGGCGTGACCGCGTACTTCAGCTAAAGGTGGCGGTGGCTGCTCAAATTGAAATATTCTGCGAGTAACCATTCTATGCCATGTTCGAATGCCGTACCTGCTCCGTTTCAGGGATAAAGAGTGTATATGCATGGAAATACAGCTCAAAAACGCCCAAATTCGCGGCTATGGGGGATTGACCCATCAGGCCCCTCCTCTATGTGCAAGCGGAAATTCTGTATCTTCTGGGCCATCCAGTAGTTGTAACAATATGCAGTTTCAATTGTTGAAGTAACCACTCTGAAAAACATTTGCTCTTGAGGGGTACACAAGTGAGGTCCTGTGTGCACCTATTTTTCACTTCGATTTCGATAGTCCCCTTATGTGGACTCTCCTCTCAGTAAATGATTTACAGCGCTTAGAGTAACAGTTGCTACCCTGTCTTGGACGCACGTGCAGAATTACTAGTAAATAGCTTTTGATGCGCGTATCTCATCATGTTAATCAAAGAAAAAGTTCATGTTAAAAATGACGTGATCTTCCGAGCAGACGAGTGTTAAACACTCAGGCACAACTGCCGTTTTATTGGGGGCATATTTCAGGGTGTCCGAGTCAAATAGGTTGTGTAAAGAGATCACAGATACTTTCATAGTAAAAGAACAAAGAGTCAAGAACACATGTCGAGTGGAATAGCATCAACTGTGAAAAAGCAGGTGAATGCTTGAAGCACGGGGTTGGATGAACTGCTTGAGCGCAAGTGAGCACGTAGTAGACTCAGTGATCTCTATTGACGCTCAGAGCTTTGCTTGCCAATCGAACAGCTACTCGCACAGAGTTACGAGTGACTGCAAAGTATCTATCAGAGGAAGCGTGCAAGGAAAAGTAGAAAGGTTCCTGACACTTTCATTCAGTTCGGTAGACGTGTCATCGAAGTCTCATTCCAAAATCTTTCCAAAGTTATTCCTCGGAGGCAGTTGACGCAAAATCTCCAAGACGTGCACAACTAGTACGCCTAGTAGGAATGAATTCGGCACCTCTGAATAGCACTGCGCGGCGCCTTTTCCAAGGAAGGTGCTCATATAGCGCCCTATCAAGCTGCAACATACCGACCCGAGCGCCCACTGCGCCCGCCCGCCCTTAACTGTGCGATCGATCCTGATGCTCGTATCGCTTCGTTCGCGAAAACAATATACACTATGAGGCGAAGGGATTGGTATGAGGCGGCTGGTGCTACATGGATATATCAGCAATGTATGCACCCGTGTCTAGCGTAGCGGTTATTGGCACGATGCCAATGGAGATCCCGTCCGGAATCGAGAGTCGTACAGGACAACGGCTTTTTCGCAGGGTTTAGATCGTTTCACTTCGCTTTTTTGCCATGCCCCACTATATACACCCCTGCTACAGCTTTGGACCAAATTCTCGTGCTAACTGCCTTGGAGGGGATGCAGCCGGCTCCTCTCTTTCTAGTGAACGCGTTATTTGAAAAGCGGGCGTTGGAATTCCCATGCATACCATGGATGTCGCATGGTGATCCTTGCAAACTATTTTGCTTCTATCGTATGGAACGGATTAAGCCGTCATAGAAAGGTACAGGTAGCAAGGCTACTGTAGAAGAGAACATATATTGAGTATCGAGCTTATAAAACTTACTTCCTAAACACTAAAAATTTTAGGCAGCTCTTGAACGGTTCCTGAATCGCCTTTTGGAAGAGTACATCGAAGAGATCGAGAAAATGGCCGAGATTGTCGTTCAGGACGAACGCATGGACGAAGAGGTGACACCGCTGGAGCTGCGCATGACAGGTACACTTCTCCTCCCATAGATCACCCTTTTCAAAGCAAAGATGCATAGCTCTTTGTCTGCCCAACTCTAAATTCATGGCTGACGAAGGCCTAAGAGTGAAGTTGAGTGATCACAGTATAGTACACAAAATTCATCGATGGTTCTAAGTGAGATTGTGGGAAAGTAGAATGATTAATTGGGTCATTTAAGGTCAAAGAGTAGTGAACAAAGAGAGAGCCGGGTGTGAGAGCAGACAAACAACATGCTCCGCGCACCCCTTCTCATTGCGACTAGGTAATTCGTCATTTCTAATCAGAGTATAGTAACAGCATAGTAACAACACGAACTTCTCGAACAAAAAGTGCACAGATCTTGTTTCTGTACTGTACAGTCGCTCTGCTTTCATTTTATCTGAACACTTGGATTCATTTTCGCACCAAAAACTCTTCATCCGTAAGCAGCACTTTTCTACCTTATCCAGCGGTTTTTCAAAAGCTCGCGATACTTGTGGGGGGCTATGCTGTGGACCACCAGAGCTTCTGACTATAATATGGTCTCAATCTCCGTCTTTCATTAGCTCCACTACGCGGTGAGGTGTTGCTAATTTTCAGCTTTCTCTTATCATGCCCTATAGACCATCCGGAGTGGAGCGCATCATGGCTGCAGCCATGTCAGATCCTTTTCTTACACGGAGGTGTTGCAACCGGAACCGAAAGGTAGTGCATTGCGGGAGAGGGACAGTCAAAAGTCTGAGGTTTTCGCATCCCTTGCTCGAGTCATTTGCTCCTTGTGGATGTTCGAGCCATTGTTTTGCAGGACATTCGAGTTCATGTAATTGAACGACTATGAATCGGTGAAGATGCGAGGTGACCTTTCCGAATTCAGGAGAGGCGCAAAGTAAACGGTGATGGTAGAGGGATTATATAGTGCTTTCGTAAGCAGTACACACCATTTCTCACAGGAATAGTGTAAAATAGGTCAGCTCTAAGCGAGCACCAAATATGACAGGAATTGGATGCAGAACAAAACAGACTGAAATTATCCTATTTCCTTTTCTCCTGGCTGTGATAGATTGAACCGGATAAATGTGCCACAGCTACGTTAATTCTTTCAGCTGGACGCGAACAACACATATGTTCTTCAGAGAAGGGTACCAAAAACATTTTAGAAGAACCGCAAGAACTGGCTTTGTTTCGTCTCTTGCGAACGCTTTAAAGGTGGCCTGTTTCGGATCCGAAGTGTCGAATCCTATACTGATCCCGCCTTCAGCCAACCAATTAGGAGGTGCTGTCAACCGTATTTCGGTTTCTCGCTGTACTTTTCATGAATATTCTCGGAAGATTGCCGCATTTTGCGACACCTAATTATGAAGAGCTGGTAAAGTCCTCCACTCTTGAAATTTTGGCTTGAATTAGACCATAATGTACAGTCGTCATCCTTGCACTTGATAGTCAATGTCAGTGCGGCTGCGTGCGGCGCGGTCGTCAGCACCCGTACTGCACCAATCGTTGAACCATAGGATGACATTACTGTATTATATCCTTCGTGTTACTCGTTTTCTATCACTTTTTGTCGCATACGCGTTTCAATGAAAAGGCTGAGAAGGCTTCAAACAGTGTGCACGCTCCTTCTCGCCGACACGCCCCTATCAAGCGCAAGGATGACGACTGTACGTTACCACGGAAACTGTAGGTGTTGCCGCCACGGCCTGCACAACTTATTTCTATACTTTTGATTCTTGGAAGACTTTAATAATGCGACCATCACCAATAATCTCAACGGGCCAAAAAGAGAATTCTGTAGAGGGTCATGTCCGTTTGAAGTAAAATTAGCAACGCTGATAAAGGAGCCGCTTTTCGTTTGCATGATGGGCGAAATGAACGCAGTAGCGATTGGTCGCGTAAGCCATGTAGGCAATATAGCGCTTTTATTGTTGATTTTTATGCCTTTTGTTAGGAGATATATTAGATGAACTGATGGCTGCATAATAGCAAAATATTCCTAAAACATTACAGCTGCAGCATAACAGAACGGAGCTCATGCGTTAGCGAGCTGGGCATTCTCACCTGACGATTTACCATGTTATTCTTAGGAGCAGGGCACATCATTGGTTGGGGATTTTGGTCGAGTCTGTACGACTCCCCCCCCTTTCTTGGAGTTGGTACGAACCCCCAACTCTCTGTCCTTCCTCATCAAATCGAGCCGTCGAGCGAAGTGGGGGGGGGGGGGAGTAAAGCAACACGTCGCTTGGTCGCAGACAATGTAACCCCCCCTACCAACTTTCAGATTTTTCCCAACTACCTGCCTTTTTTTCCAAAATTTCCCGAAAACCTTCCTACTTTTTACCAAAAATTTTGCTGTCGAGCGGGGGAAGGGGCAAGGGGGGCATATAGTACGCATGAAACTGGAAAATCGCCAAAAGTCAACCATCACAACGGCAAAATGTAAATACGACCCCCTCCCTCCAAAAAATGACCAAGTACGATCCCTCCCCTTCACGAAGCCCATGAAGCGAGAAAAATCAACTATCAAAATAAATTTTTCCCAGCCCAGATACGACCCTCTCCCTCTCCTGGCGGCCAAATACGCTCTCCTATTGGGGATTCCCCAACAACGATGTGCCCTGCTTAGGAGTCCGTCAGAAACGCTCGAAGGAACATGTGTCATACTTTGGAGACCAACTTTTAAGTTTTGAGGAGCCATGTCCAAGTCTCTAAAGGCTCTTATGTGGATGAGGCCCGGCTTTTCTGGCAAAAAGGCTTTAGCGCTTGTAACCATGCCCATCTTCACAAAGAGGTAAGATTAAGACAGCGGTTTTTTTAACTTCCTTTTACTGTTTATCCAACTTCTATAGAGGGCATGCGATAAAGATAAAGCAGAAACAATTTTGGAATTCACGGTAACACTAATATTGTGAAGGTATGTACTACTAAGCATCAAAATCTATTGGATGATTATCCGCTGAGTGCACGTAGAATCTCTGAGTAGCGGCACAATTGTCTGATGGTAAACTATGCTTTGCTTAGCAATTCTATGATGCTTTTCATAAGTGGGATTGCTTGAGTCTGGAGTGCTTGAGACCCACACTAACTTGAAGCCTTTCCGTAACTGAATGAATGCTGTTCCTAAGAAGGGTGACAGAGCGCTGTGCGATACTGTAGCGACCGATTTTGCGAGAGCATTTTTTTAGTCGGCGGGTCGATTGCAAGTGGCTACCGTATACCGGTAAGGTCTTCGAAACTACTGCAACAGTAATCAATCTCATTCTTCAGGTAATCTGCTCGCACTACCGATGAAAAAGGTCACCAAAGAAACGGGGTTCTTGGCCGAAGCCAAGGAATGGATGGCTGGACGGTAAGCGAAAAGCTAGTTCTATTACCCTTCATTCGTTTTTTTTTTCAATTAAGAACTTTTCACATACAATAGACCTTCCTCTGTAATCTTCAGTTGAAGGACATCTTTTGAATCAGTGTTGTTTTGAAATATAGACTAGTTTGAATTCTAACCAAGATCTATACGTAACCGTAGAATGGTAACTGCGTCTAACAGCTGACCGCTCACTAATCGAGAAACCAAGGGTACAGACACGATCTAGACTGAAGTGAGCTTTTCTGGCCGCTGCTGTTCTTGAGCCTCCCCCTCACAGAGCAGACTATCCCTTCTGAAGGCATTCCAAAAGATAGTATTTGATATGCTCTTTAATATGGTGGTAGAAATGTCCGATAAGAATTCAACAAAGTGTAACCTATAGCGCCCAGTCGGGGAAGAAAAGTCTTTTTTTGCCCCCCCCCCTGTATATCCATGCAACGCCGCCGCCGCTTCATACCAGTCTCATATTGTGCTTCATATTGTGCTTCACAAATGACCCAGTGCGATCACAGCATTGGTGGGAAATTTGTGTGTGCGGGCTTGCGTGGTGGGTGTCCGGGTCGGTATGTTGCACCTTGATAGGGCGCTGTAAGGGTATCCTCCTTGGAAAAGGCCCCACGCAGCGCCCGCTCAGGACCGGCTTCTGTCCTGCTAGGCGTGTCATTTCTACACATCTCGAGCATTAATTGTGTCACTTGCATCTTATATATCCGTTAGCACGGCACGCCTCGTTTTCAAAAATAATGAATTCCGCGGCTCAAATACTAGTGACAAAATGCTGAGTAACACTGGAAAGAAAAAAATGCGGAAGAAAAACTTCAAATGCCCCGCATAGAGCTCCATGTTGGACCGCGCATGTACCCGCACGATGCAAGGAGGAAGCGTGGTGGGACAGTTTCTATTAGGTCATCCCATTCAAAAGTGCCGTCGATTTTTTGGAATAAAACAAAGAGGAGAATAGATAAAAAAGTAATATCTTGGCTTCACGTTAAGTAAACCCCTCCTTCACCAATGACCCGCTCCCAGTGCCCCTAAGGCCTTTGGACCTCTGGTACCTTCGATTTTTCAACAAGTGCGAGTGAACTGATGTTGATGCCAATTTCGGCGAATGACAAAACATTGTAGCGTTTGCCGTCGGAAAGTACCCTCAAACGACCAGAACAGTTGGATCAAACGGCTTTATATTGGGCGAATGGGGCGATTGAACCCAGGTCTCAGTATTGTTTGTGTGCACTTGTCCAGCACTGCCTTACATACAGTGAGTCTGCTACTATGACGAGCAACAGTGGCCTTCTTGTAGTTGTGTGGTATCATCCATTTGTCGATCTGATTGTCGAGGAACAGGCAATATACACCGACAGCTACGATTTTATTTTCTGTATAGAGCCGCCTGAAAGCCTCAGCCTCAGTGTAGGAATCCTTTGCTATGATGATCATCCGCTTGCGCCTACGTAACCCCTCATGGTAGAACTCGGGCGGCTTCTCATTTGCCTTCATACAAAATTGAAGACTGTGAGTTTTGGCTCGAAGTCCAAAACATCCATATTTAATCCAGGGCAGGGGTGCGTTTTCACAGTCGTGAATGACATCTTATGTTGAGAACATTATTGCTAGAGGTATAGAATCAGCGCTGCAGTGGTGCTTCTACAAGAAAATAAGGTACCCGTGCGTACACTCGCTTGACCATCCTCAGTCTAGACATACATATCTCGGGCAGCATTCGCAGCAGAGATGTCAGTATCTGATGTCAGTATCACCTTCTTAACCATTCTCAGTTTATCGGACATAACTCGCGCAGGGACATTTCAATGGGATGACCTAATATTTGGTCATCCCACTGAAATGTCCCGTGACATATAGAGGGATGGCAGAAAAGCAAAGGGGATAGGGAACGGGGCTACTATACCATTTGGAGGCTAATGCCTACGTCTGTGTATCTGTGAAATTTGGCGAACCTACCCACAGAGGAAGTTCTCGAGAAACTGAAGAAAAGCCCGAGTGGTAAAAATCGATTTTCAAATCAGACATAAGAGGGAAGTGCACTGCTCAAATTCAACCGGCGCCGGAGCAGTAGTTGTGCTAATGGCGTTCTTGAAATACAAGGTGGAACGTTTGGTGCAGGAGCCCGAAGAAGGAAGAAAGGAAAAATTTGTTGTTGTGGATAGTCCCATAATGTTCATCCTGCACAAGATAAAAAGGGTGGATGAAGTCAAGCGCTGAATGTCTGATCACAGAGCCTGGACCTTTATCGAGCTTCCCCGCGAGTCTGACATCCCAGCTGGAGGTGCTGCCAAAGTTATGTCCGATAAACTGAGGAAGGTGTGAGCATAGGTACCTTATTTTCTTGTAGAAGCACCACTGCAGCGCTGATTCTATACCTCTAGCAATAATGTTCTCAACATAAGATGTCATTCACGACTTTGAAAACGCACCCCTGCCCTAGATGAAATATGGGTGTTTTGGACTTCGAGCCAAAACTCACAGTCGTCAATTTTGTATGAAGGCAAATGAGAAGCCGCCCGAGTTCTACCATGAAGGGTTACGTGGGCGCAAGTGAATGGTCATCATAGCAAAGGATTCCTACACTGAGGCTGAGGCTTTCAGGCGGCTCTATACAGAAAATAAAATCGTAGCTGTTGGTGAAGATGCTTGATCCTCGGCAATCATATCGACAAATGGATGATACCACACAACTACAAGAAGGCCACCGTTGCTCGTCATAGTACCAGACCCCGAGTAACTGTATTGTAGGGCAGTGCTGGGACACAAACAATACTGAGACCTGGATTCACACACCCCGTTCGCCCGACATAAAGCGAGCGGTTCCAATTGTTCTCGTCAGTCGAGAGTACTCTATGACGGCAAAAGCTACAATGTTTTGTCATTGCCGAAATTGGCATCAACAACAATTTACTCGCACTTGTTAAAAAATTGTAGGTACCAGAGGTTCAAATGCTTTCGGGGCACTGGGAGCGGGTCATTGGGCTTTACTTGACTTATAGCCAAAATCTTAGCTTTTTTGAAGCTGTTTTGTTATGATAACTGCTGTTTGACGCCGTTAACGCCGCAGTACGCGTTCCGAATGTTATCACAAGAATGCTGAGTTGTGGGCAAAAGTCGTGCCCCAGGCGGGAGCTGAACCCGCGCCTCACGCTTTGCGGGCGAGTTCCGTTACGCAAGAACGGATAGCGCACTCGCCCGGAAAGCGTGAGGTGCGGGTTCGATTCCCGCCTGGGGCACGACTTTTGCCCACAACTCAGCATTCTGTGATAACATTAGCTTTTTATTATTCTGCTCTTTTGCTTTATTCGAAAAAACGCGACGCACTTTCGATTGGGATGACTCTAATATGTACTTGATGGTGCCAGATCTTTTCCCTTTCACTATCGGAAAGGAATAAAATTAACGGAACAACTACATGATGGAGGTATGGAAAGAGTGCATTGTCATGATCAGTGGACTGAGCAAATATCAAATAGCAGATAAGACTTACTGGTCGATAGAACAACATCAATATAAGTCAGGAGCTGGATAATATTGCCTACGGCAATGTTAAAATATATTCTGCCGATTTCACTGACATGTTTACAAAACTCTGGAACATAGCCTCATTATCAGGAATATGCAACAGCTTGATGAGCATCTGCTTCAAAAATGGCGAATAAGGCGTTCATTGCTAGTACATGGTTATCATGTTTTTTACTCAGACGGTAGAGCAAATAAAAGCAACTACAGATACTACAGAAGCTACCGACTTAATATATCTTATCGATTACTTATTGCGCAACAGTTTTTGTTATTTTTGCTGGTAACATATTCAATCAGACTAAAGGTGTTTCGCAAGGACGGCCAACTTCAGCCCGCTGTTGGCAGACCTACGCTGTCAATCATGGAATACAATTATGCAAAGTGGCAATAGATTCAATGCTAGTAAATGCTCATTCCATACAGATATATGGATGATCTCCTATTAAGTTATACATAACAGTCTGAAATGAAGTCGATGAACAACCTTGCGGAGGTCTATAGAAATACCTCCAGTTGAAGAAGACACACACAACTGAGCTGTACAGTAATTATTGGAACTTAACCATTCAATATAGTAAACGGACCAAATTACTAACGGGTTTAATATATATAAACAGATGACTTTAACTTCAAAGTGATTAGATTCGCCACACAGTGAATCAAATATCTCCAACTAACAACAAGGCTTCCGTTATATACACAGAAACCGTTAGGATAGCCACACCTGCTATTGCTTTGATACGTTTTATTTGGAAAGCAAGTAGGCATATGGTAAGAATGCTTATTATAGCAGTGGTTACAGTTAGGAACTTCATATAGGCTAGTATAGTGGGAGTATTTATTAGAATAAACATTATATGTTACAAATACTCTATTACGAATGATTACGGTAGCATAAGCAGATTAATCCGAGGTATTCAGTGGCCGTTTTCGTTAAATTTGGTGTCTTATGTAAACACATTTTTTACCCGCATGTGTTCGTGTAGTATTTTCGGATATTATATTGTAAACATCAACTGATAGTTTTTTCGTAAATTACGCCCGTCCTACTCACGTTATCAATCAATTAGCATATCTTGAACCTCTCAGTCTTTATCGCTTTTAACTTTATAACTTATAAAACTTGCTGCAATTGATTTTTCTTCTCTTCCTTACTGAAGAGCACGGAAGGAGGATATGCTTTTGCTCGGCTTCCGTCTAAGGGCACGTGCGAAATGGAAGCCTGAGCTATCTCTTTGCTTTCGACCCCTCCTCAATAATTCTCATTTATTAGATTTTACAACATAGTCATTAATCTGTTTGCAAGATTTTATTTGTGGGCAAAAGTCGTGCCCAGGTCGGGAGTCGAACTCGCACCCTCACCTTCCGGGCGAGTAACGCTATTCCGTTACGGCAACCGGATAGCGCACCTCGCCCGGAAAGCGTGAAGGTGCGGGTTCGACTCGCCCTGGGGCACGACTTTTGCCCACAACTCAGCATTCTTGTGATAAACATGTAGCTTTTTTATCTATTCTGCTCTTTGCTTTATTCGAAAAAAACCGACGGCACTTTCGATTGGGATGACCTAATATGTACTTGATGGTGCCAGATCTTTTCCCTTTCACTATTGGAAAGGAATAAAATTAACGGAACAACTACATGATCAGGTATGAAAGAGTAGCATTGTCATGATCAGTGGACGGAGCCGTGGTCTCGGGGTCGCACTTCCCTCATGTATTCAGAGCCACGAAAGTATTTACTAAATTCTCCATGGGTGGATGGGACTACTATGTCCAGCGAAGCCATCCGCAGATCAGATGGAGGGGGGGGGTGGAAGGAGAGTGTCTTTTAATTGTTAACAAATTCGTGAGCGTAGCAGCTGCAAGAAATCTAGGTACTCCAAGCTCTACAATCTCGAAAGCTTTGGCTTCCAGTAATCTGCTGTCACATTCATATCTGATGAGTAGGAATGCTTCACTACTTAGCTAATTGTCCCACCACACCTTTTCTCTGGGCTTCCCGATAAAGCCATTTTTTTCAGCAGATCAGTAGTGAGTAGAGTGAAAAACAGAAACTCTGAAAAGAAGGTATATTCAAGACTTTGATCAGCAGTGAATGTGAGAAATTACAATATTTAAACCATATACCCACAATATCATACCGAGTGAAAGCTTCAAGGTAAGAGGGGATGGAAGTCCTGACTCTGTCTTACATGGCGTAAGTTCAGAGCAACTGCTTATGAGAACGTTTCACAAATCGTGCAAAGCTGTGTGATAGAAGCTATTTTCACTAGTCCTTCACTCCCAGGTGAGTGCTTACTTCCATGTGATATTCGTTCTCTTTTAGAATTGCCAATAACCTACTTGTATCACGTCTTGGTCCGTCGATTGACGAAAGCGACAGTGAAGAAGAAGTGGAAGGAGAAGTTCTCGATGGAGGTGCTAGCCACCCCGTGAAGGTAAGCAGAGAGAATGGACTCAATGAAGTTACATCCATTTCACATACGAAATTCGGATGCACCAAACAAAGGTTGGTTACATTCCTGATCCCTAGAACATCTCGACTCCACTCATTGTCAGACAAAACTAATAGTGTTCTTATAATTCCACAGATGCATGCATAGTACAGAGCTCAGCATCCCTTTTAGCTGAAGTTGTCGAGGACGTTCCCTGAGTCCCAAATCTCCGCTATGTCACATGTAATACACCACCCAGGTGCGAAAACCACAGCACTAGAAGTTATCATTGGCAGCAATATTCAGTACAGGAGCTTCTACAGGAATTCAGGGGCAAAAGATAAACAAACGATAAAACCCTGTAATGTGGTACACTACCGGAACTGCGGCAGACTGTCCAAGGAATTTCAAGACAGATAATCGGCTAGTTTTTTGCACAGAATTATTTAATGTAGCGGCCGAAGAACCAATTCACAAGCGGTTTTATACTCCTCATCATTACGGACTGTCGGGGCGGGTCAGTGCGGCTGCGTATTCCGCGGTTCCAAAGTCTTTCTGCACCAGTTGTTGAAGCGATCAAATGACATAACAGCATTACATCCTTCGTATTACTCGTTTCCTACCACTTTTTGTCGCATACGCGCTTCAAAGAAAAGGCTGAGAACGGCTT